AGGTAATGATGATTGCAACAACGCTTTGAAAGAGTCAAATCGCTAGTCCAAATTGACCATGCTTTAACCCTCAGCCCCATTCCAAGATGAAAAGATCCTTGAGATCTTTCATGAACTACGAGGTGTGATGATTGGAAAATATGGTCAAACCTATGGGACAAAAAGCTTGCATGTGTTTCTCACTTGGGAGAGTGAGAGTTACATTGATCCCTATTACCTTTGTTAATTTGCTTCGTGAGAGCATGGAATCATTCTTGATGTGAGGTCACTTGAATGCATTTGTTGAAACATGTTCTTACATTAGACAAGAAGTTGAAGTGAGCTTGAACTTGTATTTTTACTAGTTAGTCAACATTTGAAGCTTTTTGATCATGATTTAGGGTAACATGCTATTGCGAATAGTCTTGTTGTGGCACTTGTATTTTATCTCTCATTGAGTACTGTTGTAGACACCCTTATTGAGCTTATTGTATTCTTGATTTACTTGAGAAAAACAAAATTTTAAGTTGGGGGTGTTGATGAGTGGTAGATTTGCACTCATTTAAGGTCCATTTAGCTCAATGATTAGTGTCCTCAATGCCTAATTTTTTCAAATTTTGACTGAATGTTGATGATTTGTAGATATGAAGGTAATTGTGTAACAACCAGAAAATACTAACAAGAGTCGCATGTCGATAAACAACTGCTTAATTATTACAATATGTTTAATTCTCATTTTGGAAACTTGAAATAATGTTATATTTGCAACCTTGCTTAAAATAATTGTGATCGTAATTTAATGTATTGTATGGGGGTATTTGCGTCATGTTTTAATTAGAAATATGTATAGCTTTCAACAGAGGTGAAGGATATATATATAGGTGTATATGTATGCATTTGGGCAGCACACAAGTATTTGGGCAGCCAACTTTTATGGACAGGTGTGTATATGATAAGCACCTCTTGTGTTACTATATTTTGACACCTCCTCTTAGGAAATTCGTCTCACCTGAAGTATAAGACCCTTAGAACATTATCTAACCTGTTGTTCTTCAAGATCACAAGAGAAAATCTTGGTCCTTTTGGCTGGAAATCGAGTTACACTCTTCTCTTTGGTAAGTGGTAAAACCTGTTTTTGAGCTGGGTAGCGTTTAGTAGATTAAGCATATCTCGTTCTATTGAACTTTGTTAACTGTGAATAAATATGATTTGGAGAGATAATTCGTATATGTACAACTCTTATCTTTATGTTAAACTCTAATTTACTTGTTATGGATTCGAAATATGGGACGCATCATAGGACAAGTTCTGTCCAGATTCTGTAGTTTGTAATCCTGTATGGACAACTGTTAGTGTTTTGAATATAACTTTTTATGCAAAATACATTTTGGAGTGATTCTTCGTTGTTTGCAACCTTAAGAGAGGTATCTACATCTTTCATGAAGATTATACAGTCCAGTTTTGCCGTTTGCCATTTCAAATCTTAGTTGCCACATGATGCACTAGGATGGCCAAAATTTACTGTTTGGGAGCATAGTCGTATTTGTACAGGCTAGGCGTACTTGTGATGATAACCCTATTTTACGTCATCATTATTAAGCTGATAGAAAGTAAATAAGTTATTGAATTCATTTTTTAAGGTTGTATATCCTCGTGAACTAGTTGAAGACTTTGATACGTTGCTAGGGCTACGGTTTGACTCGTGGAGTTTTGTTGGACTGTTTTTGTGCTAAAGAACTGCGGTTTGTGTATAAAAGTACACTTGTACTCTTTTTACCTGCTGGTATATCTGAAAGTTATCGTGGTAACTTGGTTACCTCTTGTCACTTTGCATTGTCGTATTGATATTCTTTAATACATTAAAGACGCTTATGTAACTCGCCCACTTGTACGGATTGTTTGATCACTTAGCACTCTTGTTGGGACCTTGTCCTTCTTGTGGCTGTGACTTTTTCACTCTTGGCATGCCTCTTGGTTTAGATCATTTGCCATCTTGACTCTGGATTTTTAGTTCGTCTTAAGAATGGAAGTTGTCCATTTTAAGTACGAACTAGGAAGCCATTTTTTAATATGGTTCTTGGTTCTCTTGATTATTGGGTTTTGACCCTTCTTGATACCTGCTCGTTCTTGGTGTGACGACATGAGGTATATATTGGGTGAGCCTTGTTATTGAATTTCTTGAAAAGTTGTGCTATGAGCATTCTTGACATTTGGACCTTTATATATTGAACTTGATACTCCTTGTATATTGTTTACTGATTTTTTTTCGATCGTGCCGCCCTTGACTTGAGAATGATAACTTGGTGAATTTAAGGGCTCCAAACCTAGAGTTTGTACACCACTGAGCTATAGGGGTTGTTCGCGATGATGCTTGAAGCTGGCTATTGATGATGGAGATTTTGAAAGCCTTAAGGAAGATCACATTTGCATATAGGCATATATATTTTGTATAACCTTGGGACTTGTACATGATCTTTGTGCCGTATATTTTACAGGAGATTTGGAGGGCTGATTTGGTCATGTCACCATGGATTGTAATATAAGTATGGTTATACGTTTTTATCTTTTTGAGATGTGTAAACCCAAGTGTTGTAATATTCTAATTTGCTATATGTCTTGAAAGTTGTGTGAAGCATGAGCCGCCTGATTTCGGTACTCGGAAGCTTGTAATATTCTTGGTATTTCACCCTCGAGTGTGAGGTTAACATATGCATGAAGATCTGGTCGGTTAATTGCTTAAATATTTTTTTTTTTTTTGGAGTTCGTTATGAATCTAATCCTTCTACTAGATTAAAATCAGTATGCCCTCATTAATTGGTTTTAAATGTCGCAAGTATTTAATTAGATTTCTTGTTTAGGTAGTGGTATCGTCTTGAAAGGATTGCTTCAAGTGTTGGTATTAGATCCTAGGTTTGTGGTTCTAGGACTTTTGTTGTGAATTACTAATATAGTTGTTTGCTTTCAAAAAGGGTTCTATTTAGATCATTTGTTCGCTTATATGGTTTAAGATAATTGCATCGCATGTAGAGTGCATATGCATCTAGTACCTGTCCCTAATGCAATGTGATCTTCCCTTTTGAAAGAATTAAGTTATGGCCAGTTCTTCTGACCGACCTATGGAAGCTGCTCGTGAAGGTTCGGGTGCCTCTGTTTCCCAACCTCATGCACTGGAAGGGGTTGGAGAACATATCTCAAATCAGTATGTTCCCCACACTAGTGTTTCTGAAGTGGGAAACCATCAGGGTGTAAGAGCTAGTCCACATCCTCACATGAATCATGGTACTCAAACCATGAATCCTCATTTTCAACAAATGGCTGAATTCTTCGACCATATTGCTGAATCGATACATGATCCCCACATGATTAACTTTGAGAAAATTAGGAAAATGGGTGGAGAGGAGTTTGAAGGCACTGTTGATCCCACATATCTTGAACAATGGCTTGATCGCATGGAGAGGGTATTTGAGCAGTTGGAGTGTTCAGATGTTGCCAAATTTAAGTATGCTATTTCACTATTACAAAAGGATGCTTATGATTGGTGGGTAAGTGTTCCGAATGCCAAGGTAAAACCTTCTGTTCTTACTTGGGATGATTTTCTTAAGGAATTTCGTATGAAGTATGTCCCACCTGCTTATTGTGATGCAAAGAAAAAGGAGTTTTTGAATCTAAGGTAACGAGGCATGTCTATTGCTGAATACGAACAAAAGTTTCAAAGGCTCTCTCGCTATGCTGGTGGTATTATTAAAGAGGAAAAAGACAAGTGCATGAAATTTGAAGACAGTTTAAATGATTCCATTAGGAAGAATGTGGCGATCCTGCAACATGAGAAATTTTATAAGTTAGTGTCTGCTGCTTTTACTTGGGAACAAATTGATAAAGAAGAAACTAGTAGAAATGAAAACAGATTCCAAAAGCCTAGACCAGATTTTGGGGGTCCATCCAAAAGGGGAAGGTTTGATAATTCTAAGGCTGGTAGTGATAACAGGCCACCTCAACAAAGGCAAAACAAATCAGAAGTTTCTACAACTAGCACTCCAAATTTTGGCCAAAGCAAGCCTCACGTTCCTACTTGTCCACAATGTGGAAAGAATCATTATGGCACTTGCAGGAGAGCTTCTGGTGCATGTTTCAATTGTGGGAGCTTTGATCATAAAGTGAAAGATTGCCCTAATCCTTGTAATGCTCCTTCCTTTAAAACTGAATGCTCAGTTCATAAGCCTTCTGTTAATCCTCCTTAAACTAATACAGGTGCCACTACTAGAAATTTGATCTATTGCCACAGTTCATGTACCGTTGCAATAGACTTTCCTACCGTAGCCATTGGTCTAATGCAACGGTTAAAGCAACCACTACAACAGATCAGGTAGCAATAGATCTGTTGCTATGGTTATGTGCGACGGTTCAAAAAACCGTAGCAGTAGATAGACCTATTGCCACAGTTTTAATTTTAATAAGTTGCCAATGCTTAGTATCGTATTGCTACGGTTATGAACCGTTGGAAAAGAGTTTTATGCATCAGTTCTTTTGAGGCTATGGCTACAATTTTTCTTTCTATTCAAAAACCATTTCATTCTATTGCGACGGTTGTTATAGGGTAATGCAACGGTTATTACAGAATAATGCGATAGCTGTTACATGGTAATGAAACGGTTATTATAGGGTACTGCAACAATTCTTACTTTCTGCAATAGTTGTTATTAAGCTATTGCAACGTGTGTGTGTGTGTGTATATATATATATATATATATATATATATATATTATCGGTGAACTTCCATAAATATTATATTATTGAGCTATTGCAGTAATTTTATAACATAAAATACACATAAATCGTTCACGAAAAGAAATGTTCATTACCAAAATTATAATTCAAGATCCATAAAACCAAAATATATCTACAAATATATTTTTACCATTCAAAAAAGGTGAAACACAAGCATGCACCACACAGTTTTCAATCTTCAAAAATAAAAGATTTCTAGAACATCAGTAAAGTTAACATTAACAATATTTCAGCTTCTATGTCAAGTCTTCACTACTGCTTTCATCGCCTTCTTCGATTTCATCACCTACATACAATTAGAAAAAATATAAATAATTTAGCTATTTTTTCGCAAAAGCTTAATGGCTCCACAGTAGTCATATATTACAAAGTTATTACTCTATATCTAAGACATACATATAATTCAATAAACTCAAATAACATTAAACTATATATATGGAGTATGGACTAATCTCAAACTTTTCCGCAACTTCATTGCTGCCATAGATGCTTTAGCTTGGGGAGTTGGAAGTCTATAATCCCAAAATGAATGCATGTATCTCATCCCAACTGGAGACAGTGTAAAGAATACCATACATCCCGGCCCCTCCAACCAGAACAACTACCTTCAGCTAGTTCTCTCTGTTTTGTTACCAAACCAGCGAACAAAGGAACAAAAGAAATACCAAACTGGTCGCCATCATGTATGTGTAATGTTCATGACTTCTAGCTAATAATAGAAGATAATGGAAGCAAAGGAACCATATGGACAGTGACAACTAGTTCAAATTAAGGTTTAGTTGTTGTTTTTACTGTTACATTAAATCTGGTGCCTGTCAGAAATACTTTTAGTTCAGTAGATACTCTCTACCCTACAAAGATAGGGGTAAGGTCTGTCTCCTACACTCCCTAGACCCCACTAGTAGGGATTACACTAGGTGAATTGTTGTTGTTTGTAGAAATAATGAGAGATAAAGATGGACTAGTGCATACAACATGGGTATAGGCTCACAACAGCCAACCTCCATCGGCACTCCACCAGTGTATTCAGGACCTTCAGAGGCTCACAAATCAGCTGGAAATCTTAAAGTGCAATCACATATATAGAGAGGCAAACTGTACAACTGACTTCCTATTTAAATGGTTCGACATTCTACAACAATTACACCTACCAGTAGCTGCCCAGGTTGGCCAAAGGAAGCCATGTTTTAGAAAAATTGGGTTTGACTAATTTAGTGGTATGATACCCAATAGGTTTATCTACAAGCTATATACTTAAAATATAAAAAGAATCTGCATTTTCATATTTCATGTAATAAACAATCACAAGATGCCACTTCTGATGAACATATCCTAGAATATATAGTATGGCCAGTCGAAGAAGTGAAATGATTTAGAATAGTAGATGCATCTCTCATTTGCATTAAACACAACATATTTCGGGATTCAAAGAATCTATCAAAAAAACTGCACTATTAACAACCATTTATAGTTATTGTTCTTGCCTTAAGTAGTAGGTTTTTTCATGTTACTCATCCCACTATGTCACCTAAATTGGGATTGATGTCTATGTTTTCCCAAAGATAATTTACTTCTAGTCTTTAAGAGGGGATATGTAAGGTTGAAACAAGTTCCCCACTTAAATTTTATGGTATGCATAACTAGTCTTTGTAAACAGGTTGGACTTGGGAGCAACTTTGGCTCATGAAATGATGCACACTGGATGAAGATCCAAGGTGCTTTCCAGCTTTCTACTATAATCTATAGTTGGTTTTGTCTAATTTAAACTACAAATAATGGAAAATAAACTAGTGAACAACATTCCTAATAAATCTGTCTTTTTCTCTATGATATATAGGGTATGAGAAGCTGTCCCTAAACATCGCAAAAGGTATTTGTGAAGTTATAGCTCACAAGTGGATAGAATGGCAATCTTTTTCTGGTGATGAAAACACAGAAGGTACAAGTGAACAAGCTCAGTTCTTGAGAAATCTGAAAGAGTTTCTGAAAGATGGAATTGAAAAAAACCATTCAAGCAGACTATTCTATGTGTAAAATTCTTTTTGGATAGGTTTAAGTTGTGTTGTTTCAGCACAATTTCACCACAAATAAGCTCCACAATTTAGTACATGACACTTCAAAATATAAATGCAGTTTTCAGCACATTCACATTTTTAGAGCACATTCAAAAATTTCTGCAGATTCTGGCTAGGACTCTAAAAACTTCACAATAATAATCTGTACAATTCAATATAATCTGCACAATGCCCACATCTGCATTGAGCAGGCAAAGAAAGTCACCAACTGAACCTCCAACGTAAATTGTACTAAACCATAGTAACTCATGGAAGGTCTTTGGTTTAACCCTCCATATCACCATCAATAGGAAAATGAAGAAGAAGAGCAAAAAAAAAAGAGTCGCAATAGAAAAATAAACAAAGTCGCAACAGAGAAAGGAAATAGAGTTGCAAGAGAAACATAAAGAAGAAGAAGAAACACACAAAACATAGAATTAGTGACACCAACCTTGCTTAGCCCCTTGAATAGAAGTAGGTTCGCTTGGTGAAGGAATGGACAATGCTGCCAGTATGTTAGAATCAATTAATCCCGCATGCTTGAGTTGTGCAATTACATCTGCAATAACTCCTAGTCGCACGGTTTTCTTTTGTTCCTCCATTTGTTTCTCCATTTTCTGCATCCTTTCTTGCATTTGCTGCATTCCATCAGTTGTTGCATTTAAAGTTGATTCTGAATTGTCAACTTTTTTTTTCAAAGTAGTCTTCGTAACTCCTACTCCATATAGTCTTAGGCGTCCCGGATGTTCAGGACCACAAAAATGCTAACAAGAGTCGCATGTCGATAAACCACTGCTTAATTATTACAATATGTTTAATTCTCATTTTGGGAACTTGAAATAATGTTATATTTGCAACCTTGCTTAAAATATTTGTCATCGTAATTTAATGTATTGTATGGGGGGTATTTGCGTAATGTTTTAATTAGAAATATGTATAGCTTTAAAAGGAGGTGAAGGATATATATATATATATATATATATATATATATATATATATATATATATATATATAAAGGTGTATATGTATGCATTTGGGCAGCACACAAGTATTTGGGCAGCCAATTTATATGGACATATGTGTATATGATAAGCACATCTTGTGTTACTATATTTTGATACCTCCTCTTAGGAAATTCGTCTCACCTGAAGTATAAGTCTCTTATAACATTATCTAACCTGTTGTTCTTCAAGATCACAAGAGAAAATCTTGGTCCTTTTGGCTGGAAATCGAGTTACACTCTTCTCTTTGGTAAGTGGTAAAACCTGTTTTTGAGCTGGGTAGCGTTTAGTAGATTAAGCATATCTCGTTCTATAGAACTTTGTTTACTGTGAATAAATATGATTTGGAAAGATAATTCGTATATGTACAACTCTTATATTTATGTTAAACTCTAATTTGCTTGTGATGGATTCGAAATATGGGACGCATCATAGGACAAGTTCTGTCCAGATTCTGAAGTTTGAAATCCTGTATGGACAACTGTTAGTGTTTTGAATATATCTTTTTATCCAAAATCCATTTTGCAGTGATTCTTGGTTGTTTGCAACCTTAAGAGAGGTACCTACATCTTTCATGAAAAGTATACAATCCAGTTTTTCCATTTTCCATTTCAAATCTTAGTTGCGACATGATGCACTACGATTGCCAAAATTTACTGTTTGGGAGCATAGTCGTATTTGTACAGGATCGGCGTACTTGTGATGATAACCCTATTTTATGTCACATTATTGAGCTGATAGAAAGTAAATAAGTTATTGAATTCATTTTTTAAGGTTGTATATCCTCGTGTACAAGTTGAAGACTTTGATACGCTACTAGGTCTATGGTTTGACTCATGGAGTTTTGTTGGACTGTTTTTGTGCTAAAGAACTGAGGTTTGTGTATAAGCTTATACTTGTACTCTTTTTACCTGCTGGTATATCTGAAAGTTATCTTGGTACCTTGGTTACCTCTTGTCACTTTGCATTGTCGTATTGATATTCTTTAATACATTAAAGACGTTTATGTAACTCGCCCACTTGTACGGATTGTTTGATCACTTAGCACTCTTGTTGGGACCTTGTCCTTCTTGTGGCTGTGACTTTGTCACTCTTGGCATGCCTCTTGGTTTGGATCATTTGCCATCTTGACTCTGGATTTTTAGTTCGTCTTAAGAATGGAAGTTGTCCATTTTAAGTACGAACTAGGAAGCCATTTTTTAATATGGTTCTTGGTTCTCTTGATTATTGGGTTTTGACCCTTCTTGATACATGCTCGTGCTTGGTGTGACGACATGAGGTATATATTGGGTGAGCCTTGTTATTGAATTTCTTGAAAAGCTGTGCTATGAGCATTCTTGACATTTGGACCTTTATATATTGAACTTGATACTCCTTGTATATTGTTTACTGATTTTTTTTCGATCGTGCCGCCCTTGACTTGAGAATGATAACTTGGTGAATTTAAGGGCTCCAAACCTATAGTTTGTACACCACTAAGGTATATGCTTAGCGATAGTTGTTTCTATCATAGGGGCTATTTGCGATGATGCTTTAAGCTGGCCATTGATGATGGAGATTTTGAAAGCCCTAAAGAAGATCACATTTGCATATAGGCATATATATTTTGTATAACCTTGGGACTTGTACATGATCTTTGTGCCGTATATTTACAGGACATTTTGAGGGCTGATTTGGTCATGTCACCATGGGTTGTTATATAAGTATGGTTAGGAGTTTTTATCTTTTTGGGGTGTGTAAACCCAAATCTTGTAATATACTAATTTGCTATATATCTTGAAAGTTGTGTGAAGCATGAGCCGACTGATTTTGGTACTCAGAAGCTTATAATATTCTTGTTATTTCACCCTCGAGTGTGAGGTTAACATATGCATGAAGATCAGGTCAGTTAATTGCTTAAATGTTATTTTTTTTTTGGAGTTCGTTATGAATCTAATCCCTCTACTAGATTAAAATTAGTATGCCCTCATTAATTGGTTTTAAATGTCGCAAGTGTTTAATTAGATTTCTTTTTTAAGTAGTGGTATCGTTATGAAGGGATCGCTACAAATTGGACAAGGCCAGGATCAAAGCATGGACAGAATTGCCAAAGACACAAAAATAAGTGCAAACTACACAATGTAGATCACCTAACGAGAAGGGTGAATCACCAAAGTAGTGTGAGCTCGTCCAAAATGACAATGCACTGAGTCAGCCCTCAAGATCAATCGGTGAAGTTAGGTAAGTAGGGTGATCCGCCGAAAGATAATAGCTGAAACAAGTGGTTGTCGCCGAAGTTAAAAATGCTGGCAGATAAAACGATGGCTCAAAGTTAGATATAATGAGGAAATTGGAAGATATAAGGTGAAACGAGTGGTTGTCGCCCAAGTTGAGAATGATGGCAGATAAAACAATGGCACAAAAGCAAATATAAGGAGGAAATTGGGGAATCGCCAAAGTGAAAAAAGTGAACTCAGACATGATCTCCTAATGAGACTCAAACACTTGAAGCGTTAAGCATGAAAAAAGGTGAACCTAAGGAAAATGGGTGATTCGCCGAATGCAGTTGGAGAACTGAACTAACATCGCCGAAAGGGACATAAAACTACTTTATGGGAAAAATATTGGGAAAGTATAAATAGCCAAGATGAGAGAGTAAGAGGTTAGATAATATAAAAGGCAAATTTCTGAACATTCTAGAGAGAGAAACCTTTATCATTAAAGAAAAACAATTTTATTGTGTAAACGTAGATTTGGAAAACTGAGGTTATAATTGAAATGGGTTTGCTATTAAATCCTTAAATTAAAGTTACCCATATCTAATTTCGTGCAAGGTATAATCTAGTTACACTTTGCAATGTGTGGCTAAAAGCCCAACCCTCTTGGGGTTTGATTATGGGGTTGGGTGTTATTTCATCTAGTGGTTTTTTGAATTGCTCTATATTATGAATATTAATCATAGATTTGACTGATTATCGAGTGATTAATTCATGAATTAAGGTGGAAAACTTAATTCTAGCTTTGATCTTATAGTGGTGCCCGAAAGATACCAATATAAGTAGGTAATCTGTTCAATAATTGTAGTTTAGGTTATTGCCGATCTAACATTTTGGGTTGCTTTGAATGGCATATATATGAGACCGGACAAGACCCACGATACCTCAAGCAACTAACTAAAAGATAAAGTAGAGTCCTCGGGAATGCAAGGAGACTCACCAAAAGCTAACTCGAAGTGCAAAGTGATCTCAACAAAGCATCTATTGATGATCCTGAACACCTGTATCTACATTATAAAAAGATGCAGGTCGAATGACAACAGTACATTGAATGTACGAGTAAGTAACATAGTCGAAGCGAAATGACTAAATGAAAGGACTACAATATACATACATATATACTTAACTGAATGTGAATAAATAAAAGAGTGAAATCATTTATACTTCACAAATACTTACGCAACTTTGAACTCTACATATAAAGTGATGTGATAAAAATACACCTTTAACTCTATTTGGGAGATTTTCTAATCGAAAACCACCACTGTGAGAAATGTGATGATACACCATCTCGCTGATGCTGCCAGAACTATCCTATACCTTATTGAGATATAGAACATCTTCACTTAGTAGATCCACTAAAGCTCTGCTCAAAAGTAATAAAGGGTTGTCTAAAAATTGCAATCCTTTACCCATATTGGCTATATGCTTTTTGAGAAATGTGAGTTGTCATGACTCATCCCCATAACGGTGTTCAATACTACTCCCAAAAAATATATACTCATGCTCAAATATATAAAACTTACTCTTCTCAATTTGAGGTAATTGCTAATAATATTCTCTTAAAAGAGATAATTGCTCTGAAATATCTCCAACTCATTAAATCATTTAGTGTAAAACCCCACACTCAAAAAGGGAGAAAATTTTGGTATTTCAAAAATCTGGTGCCAGTACCAACTGGTCCACCGACGGTCTATAGGTCGAACCACAGATCGTAGATGGGATGTGGTTGGCCAGCCCAAACATTCAAAAGAGTAAAAGTTTGAGCACTTTGTGACCGATCACCATGACGGTCTATTGTTTTATCCATGAGCTGTAGGTAATTCTCGTAGGTTGGTCTCAGACTTAATGGGATTTTACGAAAAAATCAGACGGACCAAGGAGGCCATGTATGGACCATAGGTAGACCGACAGACCATACATGGGTCCAGTCGTTCAAAGGTCTAGAGAACAAGTCTTTGAACCCATCGTCGAGAGAAAATAGAGGAAAGGGATTACAATGGGCTTTCAGTATATTTGAGAAAACTATCTGATGCCTTATTCTTTGAGGATTTTCCCCTTATACAGAGGAAGAAAAAGATTCCTTTATATCTTAAGCTTGCAGAAGTATGAATTAGATCTAGCCAACTCTTATGGGGGGTCGCTTTGTTTAATAAGGTAGCTTTAGGGTAGTGGGTACGTCTTTTGATAACGTCGTTTTGTCTATAGATATCATTGGATTCCTTTTAGGAATAGTGAAATGCCCTTTGGTAAAGTAATTCCAGCTTTGCCCCTACTTTTTCAAAAGGTCCTTTTCCTATTCATAATTGGGGTCTATGTAAGCTAAAGCCAATCCTTTGGGATTGCACATGTCTCCACTATCTTCACTGCAACCTTCTGTAGAAGCAA